AATTACACTCGTCATTGCTGTAATTGTTAGTGCACTAATTGCCAACTATAACTCAGCAAACTGTAATTACCAATTGAATGGAGAGGTGACCCTGTCCCCCCTTGCTGCCGCCTGGCTGACGCCGCCCTGTCTCCTACCGCTTCACCTGTCAATCAACCCGTCCTCTTGCTTAACACGTCGCATTTGGAATGGAATCTTCCGATGCGTTTAAAATGCGACGCATTAGAACAAATTCAAGCGTTGTTAAATTGAAGTTTTTTTATGCATCGACAAATTAAATTAAGCAAAGATGATTTTAATTAACCCAGAACTTCCTCGATTTCCCACTACGTAAAAAATATAACCATTTGCTCTAACCAGAAATCGCGCACCCACTTGGGCTGGACGGTAGAGCGACGGTCCCGCTTCATGCAGGTCGGCGTTCAATCCCCGACCGTCCACTAAGTGGTTGGGCACCATTCCTTTCCCCCGTCCCATCCCAAATCCTTATCCTGACCCCTTTCAAGTGCTATATAGTTGTAATGGCTTGGCGCTTTACTCTGATAGTCCCTCTATCCAGAAACGAGAAACGTGCCAACTCAATCTAACCGATGGAGGCGGATGTGTCACGAACGTCATATTTACGGTGGTATGATTTGTATGGAAAACGTCGGTTTTTTAACCGACTGGTGAGCTTTGGTGAATTCTGTTAGTTGGGACAGGAAGCCTCGACTAAACGGACGACTCTATAGTGTTTGACAACAGTGATTAGGGATAAGGATTTGGGATGGGACGGGGGGAAAGGAATGGTGCCCAACCGCTTATGGACGGTCGGGGATTGAACGCCGACCTGCATGAAGCGAGACCGTCGCTCTACCGTCCACCCCAAGTGGTTGGACAACAGAGAGCTTTCTAATATCAAATTATGTCCTAACTCAATTTTTGTATAGTTTCCTAATGCCAAAAAATGGCAATAGAGTACATCAGATGAAAGGCACTGACCATTTGTTCCTACCTCGACCGGGAATCGAACCCGAGGTCTTAGGGCTACGACTCCAGAGCACTGGCTACTCAGCCACGAGCCCCTATGTGTGTGTGTGAAAGAATCTATACAACAGAGTGAAGCAGAAAACCGTTCAGTTTAAAACATCGAAGGCAAAATGCATAAACCTTGGGTAACTGAAACATCAAAATCCGTTGGGATTTTGAAATTCGAAATCAAGCCGAACCAACGGTTCTAGGGAATATCAACTGATTTTGAAATGCGAAATGAAGCCGAACACATGGTTCTTGGAAATGTTTGCGAGGGAAGGAGTCGAACACAGCGACGGGAGGTACACTATTCCACAAGATGGAAAGGAGTGGATTATCGCTTTCCATTCTTGGATAAGCGAAGAACATTGTAAATGAAAACCCCCGTTCCGGGGCCGCTGGTGAGGCGGGGGGGGGGGGGGGGGCATACGTCAGGGCCTACAGAGAGGCCTACAGGGCCACACCCTGGGACAAGGGTGTGGCTGCCCTCCCGCCACACCCTGGGGCAAGGGTGTGGCTCTCATCTCACAACTTCCCGCCATTTTCAATTTAGTGTCCTCGCCCCCTTCAGATGGGCTGAGGTGATGAGCCCGTCAGACATTATCTACCTGTCGCCCCCCACCCCATGCCCCCTCTACCTCTACATCTACTCTTCTCTCCCACTTCTCCCTCCTACCATCACTCACCACTGCTCCTCTGACGCTCACAATATCGATTCTACTACTCTCGTTCCACTTCACCCTGGTATGGTGCGGGTCTTGGCCACCCTGGTATGGTGCGGTCCTTGGCCACCCTGGTATGGTGCGGTCCTTGGCCACCCTGGTATGGTGCGGTCCTTGGCCACCCTGGTATGGTGCGGTCCTTGGCCACCCTGGTATGGTGCGGTCCTTGGCCACCCTGGTATGGTGCGGGTCTTGGCCACCCTGGTATGATGCGGTCCTTGGCCACCCTGGTATGGTGCGGGTCTTGGCCACCCTGGTATGGTGCGGGTCTTGGCCACCCTGGTAAGGTGCGGTCCTTGGCCACCCTGGTATGGTGCGGTCCTTGGCCACCCTGGTATGGTGCGGTCCTTGGCCACCCTGGTAAGGTGCGGTCCTTGGCCACCCTGGTATGGTGCGGTCCTTGGCCACCCTGGTATGGTGCGGGTCTTGGCCACCCTGGTATGGTGCGGTCCTTGGCCACCCTGGTATGGTGCGGTCCTTGGCCACCCTGGTATGGTGCGGTCCTTGGTCACCCTGGTATGGTGCGGGTCTTGGCCACCCTGGTATGGTGCGGTCCTTGGTCACCCTGGTATGGTGCGGTCCTTGGTCACCCTGGTATGGTGCGGTCCGTGGTCACCCTGGTATGGTGCGGTCCTTGGTCACCCTGGTATGGTGCGGGTCTTGGCCACCCTGGTATGGTGCGGTCCTTGGCCACCCTGGTATGGTGCGGTCCTTGGCCACCCTGGTATGGTGCTGTCCTTGGCCACCCTGGTATGGTGCGGGTCTTGGCCACCCTGGTATGGTGCGGTCCTTGGCCACCCTGGTATGGTGCGGTCCTTGGCCACCCTGGTATGGTGCGGTCCTTGGCCACCCTGGTATGGTGCTGTCCTTGGCCACCCTGGTATGGTGCGGGTCTTGGCCACCCTGGTATGGTGCGGTCCTTGGCCACCCTGGTATGGTGCGGTCCTTGACCACCCTGGTATGGTGCGGGTCTTGGTCACCCTGGTATGGTGCGGTCCTTGGCCACCCTGGTATGGTGCGGGTCTTGGTCACCCTGGTATGGTGCGGGTCTTGGCCACCCTGGTATGGTGCGGGTCTTGGCCACCCTGGTATGGTGCGGGTCTTGGCCACCCTGGTATGGTGCGGGTCTTGGCCACCCTGGTATGGTGCGGGTCTTGGCCACCCTGGTATGGTGCGGGTCTTGGCCACCCTGGTATGGTGCGGGTCTTGGCCACCCTGGTATGGTGCGGGTCTTGGCCACACTGGTATGGTGCGGGTCTTGGCCACCCTGGTATGGTGCGGGTCTTGGCCACCCTGGTATGGTGCGGGTCTTGGCCACGCTTGCCCACTATCACATTACTCTCCCTCCTCATTTTTCTCTTCTCCCCCGCTGCTCCCTTAATCCTCTCTCTCTCTCTCCTACACTTTCATTCCAGCCTCTCAGCACACCTCCACCACCACACCGCCACCACACCTCCACCACACCACCACCACACACCACCACACACCACCAACACACCACCACCACACCGCCAACATTCCACCAACAGCCAATAACACGATGGCTAAGACTAATTCACAAGGAATGTAGGTGCGGGAAGTGTGGGGACCAAGAGTAGCAGCTCTACTGTCCAAGCCCGGCTTGGGGCCGGGTTCGGTGCCGGGCTCGGGGCCGGGCTTGACCTGTGAGAGTTTGGTCCACCAGGCTATTGCTTGGAGCGGCTCGCAGGCCCACATACCCACCACAGCCTGGTTGGTCCGACACTCCTTGGAGGAAACAGTCCAGTTTCCTCTTGAAGATGTCCACGGTTGTTCCGGCAATATTTCTTATAGTCGCTGGGAGGACGTTGAGCAGCCGTGGACCTCTGATGTTTATACAGTGTTCTCTGATTGTGCCTATGGCACCTCTGCTCTTCACTGGATCTATTCTGCATTTTCTTCCATGTCGTTCACTCCAGTACGTTGTTATTTTACTGTGTAGATTTGGGACCTGACCCTCCAGTATTTTCCACGTGTATATTATTTGATGTACCTCCATGTTCAACTCCCCCCCCCCCCACTCCCCCCCTCCGTGCATTCTAGCAGCTGCCATCTCTAACAATTACACAGCGTGTGTGTGAATATTGTTGCTCTAACAAGTCTTAACTGCGCGCTAACAATTATATCTGTACCAATTCCCGAAGGAGGATTGTTAAACACCGTAATTACTGCTCGCTAAACTACTCTAATAGCGGCAATAGTTATATATATATATTTTGCACGATCGGAGACGGGAAGGGGGGGGGGGGAAACTAGCAACCCAATAGCTTGGGTTGCTAGTTTTTTGTTAGACAATAGCTTGGGTTCCTAGTTTTAGGTTAGACATTAGCTTGGGTTCCTAGTTTTTGGTTAGACATTAGCTTGGGTTCCTAGTTTTTAGTTAGACAATAGCTTGGGTTGCTAGTTTTGGGTTAGACAATAGCTTGGGTTGCTAGTTTTGGGTTAGACAATAGCTTGGGTTCCTAGTTTTAGGTTAGACATTAGCTTGGGTTCCTAGTTTTTGGTTAGACATTAGCTTGGGTTCCTAGTTTTTAGTTAGACAATAGCTTGGGTTGCTAGTTTTGGGTTAGACAATAGCTTGGGTTGCTAGTTTTGGGTTAGACAATAGCTTGGGTTGCTAGTTTTGGGTTAGACAATAGCTTGGGTTGCTAGTTTTGGGTTAGACAATAGCTTGGGTTCCTAGTTTTGGGTTAGACATTAGCTTGGATTCCTAGTTTTGGGTTAGACAATAGCTTGGGTTCCTAATTTTAGGTTACACAGTTGAACAGGGTATTTTTTACGGAGTGACAAATCGCAGGGACGAGCCAAATCGCCAGGCCTTCAACACGGGATTGTCTTGCTTAAGGTGTTGCAGGTAACTTACCTAGAGAAGAGCTGCGGTGCCAAGCTTGGAATCCGGGGCAGTTATGGTACAGTAATCCACATTATATACCTGGTTCTGTTTAAATCCTGGATTCAAATTAAATCCAGGATTTAAAAATCCTGTTTAAAGGCAATGTGTGAAGAGGAAAAAGGGCCAAGGCAGTATGACTGCCATGGTTATAATCAATGATTACAATTTCTTGAGCTAGGATTATGAAATAAGGATTTGGAATGGAACGGAGGGAAAGAATGGTGCCCAACCACTTGTGGACGGTCGGGGATTGAACGCCGACCTCCATGAAGCGAGACCGTCGCTCTACCGTCTAGCCCAAGTGGTTGGACTTAAGAATGAGAAACAGGGACAACGTGAAAAAAAATGTTATTTACCTTTCTTGTTGGGGAAGTTGGATCTTGGTGTGATGGACTTCGATGTCGATCTCAGAGTTGGTAGACTTCTTGCCGAAGTGGACAGCCTTCTTCATCTTCCTCACCATCTTCTGGCTGCTGAAGCGTCTGCCGATCCTAAACTGGTGTTGGCGGCTCCTTTTAAATCTCCTGCCGCCGGGTTCGTCCCCCTCCCCCCCTTGATCACCTTCAGGAGGCACATCGATCACTTCACTCATAACACTGATGTTATCGTCATGTTCGCGCGGGCACTCTGTCTCCAGACGTCTGTTTCCCAAGTGTTCTATTCCTGAGCTTCCATACGCGACTTCACTGTTCCTTCGTCTGGTGTACTTCGAGTCTATGTCCTGCTGGTAGCAGCCACTGTGGCAGCGGCACAGGTGGTGGCGGTGGTCCACCTGGTGGTCCACCTGGTGGTCCAGCTGGTGGTCCAGGTGGTGGTCCAGGTGGTGGTCCACCTGGTGATCGCTGTAACAGCTGCCCACTTCGACGCCACTGTCATCCCTCCTGTGTGACTTGAAAAAGATCTCGTCGCTGTTCCTGCAGCTGCCTCCGGCGCTGCCACTGCTGCTGCCCTCCTCTGTGCCGCTCATGACAACGCCGTCGCCGTCGCTGCTGCGTCCAACGAGGGTGTCGTCGTCGCTGAAGTCGTTGTCCGCCTCGCTGAGGTAGCTGGTGCCAGAGTCGCGGTTACTGCTCATGTCAGTTTTAATCAGGCGCCTGCTTTCTTCAAGCAAGTCCTCTACAGGAGTGTCTTCAAGCACGACCTCGTCGTCTCCAGTTCCAGTGACAAGTGGGTTCCTGTCGACGACACCTTGTTCTAACTCGCCTTGTTCCTTCGCCAGGTTCTCAGCATCTTGCGGGCTCACTTCTCCAATAGTTTCATCTACAGATTCATCACAATTTACTACAGTTAGAGAGCTTAGTTGACTTTCAGATGCGCCACTACTCTGTTCTTCCTCCTCCTCTACACTACTCTGTTGTTCCTCCTCCTCTACACTACTCTGTTGTTCCTCCTCCTCTACACTTCTCTGTTGTTCCTCCTCCTCTACACTACTTAGTTTTTCTTCTGTTTCACTATTTCTTCCTTCGGCCAACTCAAGTGTTTTCTTCGTGCTTCTATATTCGGCTTCGTTAATTTGTTTATCTACATCGTAGTTGATATCTTCGGCAGCGTCGCCAACTGGTTCTTCGGCAGCGTCGTCAACTGGTTCTTCGACAACGTCGCCAACTGGTTCTTCAGCAGCGTCGTCAACTGGTTCTTCAGCAGCGTCGTCAACTGGTTCTTCGGCAGCGTCGCCAACTGGTTCTTCGGCAGCGTCGCCAACTGGTTCTTCGGCAGCGTCGCCAACTGGTTCTTCGGTAGCGTCGCCAACTGGTTCTTCAGCAGCGTCGCCAACTGGTTCTTCGGCAGCGTCGCCAACTGGTTCTTCAGCAGCGTCGCCAACTGGTTCTTCGGCAGCGTCGCCAACTGTTTCTTCAGCAGCGTCGCCAACTGGTTCTTTGGCAGCGTCGCCAACTGGTTCTTCGACAGCGTCGCCAACTGGTTCTTCGGCAGCGTCGCCAACTGTTTTTTCGACAGCGTCGCCAACTGGTTCTTCGACGTCACCAACTGGTTCTTCAGCAGCGTCGCCAACTGGTTCTTCAGCAGCGTCGCCAACTGATTCCTCGGCAGCGTCGCCAACTGGTTCTTCGGCAGTGTCGCCAACTGGTTCTTCGGCAGCGTCGCCAACTGTTTTTTCGACAGCGTCGCCAACTGGTTCTTCGGCAGCGTCGCCAACTGGTTCTTCGACAGCGTCGCCAACTGGTTCTTCGACAGCGTCGCCAACTGGTTCTTCGGCAGCGTCGCTAACTGGTTCTTCGGCAGCGTCGCCAACTGGTTCTTCTACGTCACCAACTGGTTCTTCGACAGCGTCGCCAACTGGTTCTTCAGCAGCGTTGCCAACTGGTTCTTCAGCAGCGTCGCCAACTGATTCCTCGGCAGCGTCGCCAACTGGTTCTTCTACGTCACCAACTGGTTCTTCGACAGCGTCGCCAACTGGTTCTTCGGCAGCGTCGTCAACTGGTTCTTCGACGTCACCAAATGGTTCTCCGGCAGCGTCGCCAACTGGTTCTTCGGCAGCGTCGCCAACTGGTTCTTCGACAGCGTCACCAACTGGTTCTTCAGCAGCGTTGCCAACTGGTTCTTCAGCAGCGTCGCCAACTGGTTCTTCTGCAGCGTCGCCAACTGGTTCTTCAGCAGCGTCGCCAACTGGTTCTTCGACAGCGTCGGCAACTGGTTCTTCGGCAGCGTCGCCAACTGGTTCTTCAGCAGCGTCGCCAACTGGTTCTTCGACGTCGCCAACTGGTTCTTCAGCAGCGTCGCCAACTGGTTCCTCGGCAGCGTCGTCAACTGGTTCTTCGATGTCACCAAATGGTTCTCCGGCAGCGTCGCCAACTGGTTCTTCGACGTCACCAAATGGTTCTCCGGCAGCGTCGCCAACTGGTTCTTCGGCAGCGTCGCCAACTGGTTCTCCGGCAGCGTCGTCAACTGGTTCTTCGACGTCGCCAACTGGTTCTTCGGCAGCGTCGCCAACTGGTTCTTCGACGTCGCCAACTGGTTCTTCGGCAGCGTCGCCAACTGGTTCTTCGACGTCGCCAACTGGTTCTTCGGCAGCGTCGCCAACTGGTTCTTCGACGTCACCAAATGGTTCTTCGGCAGCGTCGCCAACTGGTTCTTCGGCAGCGTCGCCAACTGGTTCTTCGGCAGCGTCGCCAACTGGTTCTTCGACGTCGCCAACTGGTTCCTCGGCAGCGTCGCCAACTGGTTCTTCGACGTCGCCAACTGGTTCCTCGGCAGCGTCGCCAACTGGTTCTTCGGCAGCGTCGCCAACTGGTTCCTCGGCAGCGTCGCCAACTTGTTCTTCAGCAGCGTCGCCAACTGGTTCTTCGACGTCGCCAACTGGTTCTTCAGCAGCGTCGCCAACTAGTTCCTCGGCAGCGTCGCCAACTGGTTCCTCGGCAGCGTCGCCAACTGGTTCTTCGACGTCGCCAACTGGTTCCTCGGCAGCGTCGCCAACTGGTTCTTCAGCAGCGTCGCCAACTGGTTCTTCGGCAGCGTCGCCAACTGGTTCTTCGACAGCGTCGCCAACTGGTTCTTCGACGTCGCCAACTGGTTCTTCGGCAGCGTCGCCAACTGGTTCTTCGACGTCGCCAACTGGTTCTTCAGCAGCGTCGCCAACTGGTTCTTCGGCAGCGTCGCCAACTGGTTCTTCGGCAGCGTCGCCAACTGGTTCTTCGACGTCACCAACTGGTTCTTCGGCAGCGTCGCCAACTGGTTCTTCGGCAGCGTCGCCAACTGGTTCTTCGACAGCGTCGCCAACTAGTTCTTCGACAGCGTCGCCAACTGGTTCTTCAGCAGCGTCACCAACTGGTTCTTCGGCAGCGTCGCCAACTGGTTCTTCAGCAGCGTCGCCAACTGGTTCTTCGACGTCGCCAACTGGTTCTTCGACGTCGCCAACTGGTTCTTCAGCAGCGTCGCCAACTGGTTCTTCGGCAGCGTCGCCAACTGGTTCTTCAGCGTCACCAACTGGTTCTTCGGCAGCGTCGCCAGCTGGTTCTTCGACGTCACCAACTGGTTCTTCAGCAGCGTCGCCAACTGGTTCTTCGACGTCGCCAACTGGTTCTTCGACGTCACCAATTGGTTCTTCAGCAGCGTCGCCAACTGGTTCTTCAGCAGCGTCGCCAACTGGTTCTTCGACGTCGCCAACTGGTTCTTCGACGTCACCAACTGGTTCTTCGACGTCACCAATTGGTTCTTCAGCAGCGTCGCCAACTGGTTCTTCAGCAGCGTCGCCAACTGGTTCTTCAGCAGCGTCGCCAACTGGTTCTTCAGCAGCGTCGCCAACCTTCTTGCTGGCCACAGCAGGAGCGCGCGGGCCCTCCGAGTTCTCACTGTCGCCACCGACACACTGATCTTCGATCTGGGAGTTGGTCAGCGAAACCTCACAATTATTGCGGTGCTCTGCGTCATCAAGATATTTATCTGCTTCATCTGCTGACCTTAATAACGGGTCGTTATCGTCGTTACCTTCTCCACTAACACGTGAGTCACCACTTTCGTTCACCTCATAGGGATGCTCACCTTCCTCAGCAGTGGTAAGCCTGGCGGCTGTGTCGACGTGGTTAACCTGGGGATCAGGTTCGTCTCTGGTGGTCACGCCAGATAGCACACACAGCTCGCCACAGTCACGCCCGTCACCGTCACGCCCGTCACCGCTACTCGCCTGCAAGCAGCGCACTTTAGCTTCGCCGGCGTATGTAAGTGTGTTTACCTTCTGGTCAATGTGATGTTGAGTCTTAGGCTCGGGTTCTCTCACATAAGTAACACTGTAAGTGTTCTCGCAACTGGTTTCATTCAAATTTAGACTCTCTGACCGTGTGCTAATTATTTCCTCGCTAGCGTCACCACGAGAAAAATCGAACACACTCGATAAGTAACGTTGTGACCGTCTACCAGGTGTGGCAGGAGAAACATTAACCTGCAGGGAAGGAGCAAAGTCGACTTGGTCTTCACATTCAGAACGTGAAATAAACTCCAAATGATCTAATTTTACGTTCTTTCTATCATCAACATCTCTATGTTTGTTTTCCCCTGTCTGACTCTCGCCGAGTTTCACACATTGAAACTTATTTTGATTTCTTAAAGTTTCAGAAGAAAGTTCCTCTAGATATGTACCTGTTCTAGGAATCGTCACTTCACAAGAAGCACCCAAGTTCTGAAAGGTTGGAAGCGCCTTAACACGCCCCTGTTCTCGTTGCTGGCCACAACTGCCCCAGCACCTCCTCCTCCTCCCGCTCTCTACTACGTATAAACTAGCGCCATCCTTGGCTATTAAGTCACTGTGGGCCCAAGTAGCGAGCCTTGCCGTCTCTTCCTCTAACAGGGCGTCATCCTCCACCTCCTCTCTTCGCCCCTCTTCACTCTCTCCTATTGTTACCTTTCTGCTAAATTGTTGACCAGCCTGAGCAACACACACTGCGTCCACACACTCAGCACGGGCACTGATGGTACATTTTTTGGTTACACCGGATGTAACGCCAGATATGACGTCATTATCATAGTGGTGCTCCATCCTGCCCTCGCCTTGGCTCTTGTTGTCAGGGCTATCAACACCTATATTGGGTGCCCCATCGTCCTTCCCTAGGCTGCTCCAATCACCCAGAGCAATTATCTCCTCATCTTTGGCTTTTAAATATGAGTATGTAGAGTCCAGGATGTTTTCTGGATCAGCAGTGCCAATACCTGCTGCCTCCTGACTTAGTGTCTTCGTCGCCTCCTGCAGGAGGTCCTCTCCGAGTGGTTCCTCTTTCCAGTCGCTTTCAGTATCTCCAGGAAACATGTTTAATTTAACTCTCTCATTCTCTGCCTCTCGTACCGGTTCCTGCACATACAGAACCATGCTAATATCCTTTAATTTCTCAGTACATTCGTCTCCCAACGTTCCTTCCATCATGGCGGGTCTTACTTCGTGTCTAAGGTCATCAAGACCCTTGTTGCCAACGTACTGTGTTATCTCAGCCAACTCGCTAAACACAAAATTAATGTTTCCGTTTACATCCGCCTTTTTCTCCTTGTTAACAATATCATCGACGGGCGCCTCGTGGTGTGAAGATAATCTTAACTCTGATACATTCTCATCTGTGTCTGGCGTCATGTCCTGCTCGCTGGTGATGCTGGACACGCAGGCATCCTGCAGGACAGCTCCCAGCGGCGGGCTGGCCGCCTCTGCTCTCTCTGTTTGAAGATCTGCGTCGGTACTTTCACGTGACGTGTTGCAGACTCCACAGACGCCGCTGACGAGGAAGGCATTCTCCCCATCCTCAGAATTGGTCACATGTCCGTCGTCTTCACAAGACTCTCTTCGGAGAATGTCAGGGGGCGGTGTCCCCGAGGCCCGGTTTGTTTCACAGACTCTACAAAAGTCATTCTGTGCGTCAGGATTATTAGAGCGATAAGTATCCTCGTTAGTGCTTTTCACGTCAGAAAAAGCATTCGAGAAAGTTTGTGGAACTTCGCTTACGTTATGGGTCACGAATGCGCAATTAGTACGCACATCTTGACCCAGATTCCTGGCCAGACGTCTTACGTCATCTCCGCCATCAGCGCGTCCAGCAGGAGCCTCGAAGGGCTCGTCTGGAGGCGCCGCGAACTGTGGAGACTGATAAGACTCGGCGGCTGACGATTCACATAAGAATATATCATTCCCTTCGTCTTCAGTAGTCACTTCGATGGTGACACTACGCGGGCGAGTTTCCACACATTTCCCGAGGTCACTAACACTATCATCACTATCAACTAGCTGTCCATCACGCACTTCACAACAACACATTCCCGGCACATCACTATCATCATCTTCATTGACCAAATCTTTCACTGTATCGAAACATTTACCGCCGCACACGTCCCGAGCGCCATTCGCAAAGGATACTTTAGTCTGTCCATCAATGGAGTCAGCGCCAACCCCATTTTCTGTGATGTAGAGAGTGGGACGTTCATCCCGGACTGAAGCATTCTCGTCCCAAACATCCTCGTCCTCCTGGCCGCTATCATCGTCCTCCTCGTCCACACTGATGACGTGGGCCAGGTAAGCCTTGCAGGTGCCGTAGTCACCGTCACTGCACCAGCTCACCAGGTCGTCACCGTCAACGGTGGACAGAGATCTAATCAGCGGATCAAAGTCACTCTCCATTGTATCATGTCAAACTCTACCATAGTCTACCCATCATGAACATTTTCTGTAGTGTTCTCTAGCACTGTTTTCATTAATAATATACAAAAAACACCTGCAAGGAAAAAAATATTATGAAATCTACATAATGAAAAACCAACCGGTATTGAACATATACAAAAATTTCAGTCGGGAACCCAGGTTCGATCCCCGAGCGGGGACAGATATGGTTGGGCTCGTTTTCTTTCACCCTATGCCTCTATTCAGCTAGCCGTAAAATAGGTGCCCAGGAGTCTGTAAACTGTTGTGGTTGGCATCCTGTGGAAGGTCAGTAGTTGGCTTAGGAGATGGGGGGGGGGGGACCCCGTTAAGCCTAAGATAGGCTTCCTGTCCCGGACGACAGTAATATATATTACAGCCGTAAGGTAGGTCAGTGACACCAACAATAATGCAAGAATATCAGGGAATCACGTTCGGAGTTAAACTGCAAACATTCCACCTACAAAGCAAAAAAGAGTACGATTTACACCCCAGAGAGAGAGAGAGAGAGAGAGAGAGAGAGAGAGAGAGAGAGAGAGAGAGAGAGAGAGAGAGAGAGAGAGAGAGAGAGAGAGAGAGAGAGAGAGAGAGATAATTACATAGCAAATATGCAAGAGGAACCGAGAGTCCGTAAACTAGGCTTCCGAGGGTTAGAAATATGGGAGCCAAGAGCTAGCAGGAGGCTCCAGCAGACACAACAGTAACCCCCACTCATTGGGGGGAGCAGCACCAGCAGCAGCAGACATCACGCGTACAGCAGAGCACTCCACTCATCTTCTGAATACCACCACCTCCTGTATAGATACTGACGGCACCATTACACAACAGTAAGCACGTTTGACCTTTAATAACGTGCACAGAGCCACACCACCTGCACCCTACATCACCGCCTGCACCCTACACTAACGCCTGCACCCTACACCTCCACCAACAAACTAAGAACCAACACGTCCAATATCACCATACATCGCTCCTCTTAATAAAGGCTCGACCAAATCACATATTAGAAAACGAGACAGCTCTACACACGGGTAACTTGGTTATGTTCCAGGCAGTACTGCCAACCAGGGATGACATGGACAAAGGTATTCAAACTGTCTTAATGTTGTCTATTAACTGTAGAATCTGATCCGATCTCGCATACTTTCCCAGTGGTTCTGTGGCGCCAGTGGTGATGGTGTTAGTTCTGAACCAAGAACACCTCGACCAGGAGGCCTGGTTGAGGACCGGGCCGCGGAGAAGTTAAGCCCTGAAATCATGGCAAGGTGACCATACAAGAAGACACTGTAGTGTATGGCAACTATGTTAGTAGCTTTGTCAGACTCGACCAACTCCCCAATAAACCCGTCATAGCCTTCTTGTTTATGAATATAAACCGCTTTGCGGGCCGCTCCAAGCAACAGCCTGGTGGACCAAACTCTCACAAGTCATATAGGTTCTTGGGGAGTAGAAGAACTCCCAGAACCCCACCAACCAGGTAACCAGGACCACCGCACCATCCCACACACCACATAACAACGAAACAAAAGGTTCTCTACGTTGTTATAAAAGTTGTAACAACGTATAGTTATCTTCCAGTATCTTGCGGTTACTTTGACATGATTTTGGGGCTTAGAGTCCCCGCGGCCCGGTCCTCGACCAGGCCTCCACCCCCAGGAAGCAGCCCGTGA